TCCACCATAGCCAGGTAGGTGCCTCGCCACTCTCCTCCTTCGTCCCCTTCTTCCTCCTCCTCAGGCTGGGCTGCTCGCCATAGCCAGGCTGAGCGCCAGCTGCCCTTCACCTCCAGGCAGCGCTGTACCAGTCCAGCGCTGTGCTCCAGCAGCATGTCGCCAATCCTTGCATACCGCAAATGAGGAGGAGCTACTTGCTCCTCCGGAAGATATAGCGGCCTACTGGCCTCTTGGGCGGTGACTTCCTAGGCCGAGCTGCCTCCCAGCAACCGGTACCTCCTCCCTTTCAGAGGGAAACATTATTGCAGGCTCTGTTATCGTTCGGACAGGCCCTAGACCCGGGCTACTTGGACTGGTACCGGCCTACCTCTAGCCTACAGCTACTGGCCTCTAAAAATGCCAACTTTTTGTCTTCTTCGGCTCAGCCTCCAGTACCCGACACTTCTACCCCTACTTGAGTGGTACCGGCCTACCTGCTACTTGAGTGTTTTTCCCCTCTGCTCTAAGTGTCGTGGGCCTACGCCTGCTACTCTAGTGTTTTCCCCACTGCAACCCTCGAAGTCACGGCCACAGGTAAGTACCGGCCCTGCGGGGCCTTTCACCAACAAGTACCCTTGCGGGTCACACACACACTCAGGCGACAAGCACTCAGACAGGCACGCAAACCAGCAGGCACGCACACACACACAGACATGGAAATCACAGCAGAACGCGGGAATCTCAGTAAGGCATTCATTCCAGCGGCAAATCCCAGAAATCAGCAGTGTTCTCAGTCTGTGTTTTTGGCGGGTCATTACACAGATAAAAATGCCAGTATTGGTGGCGATGTCAAGACTGATGATGGCAAGGATGAACAGGGGTTGCATACCATGATTATTTACTATTTAGTTGTAATTTGAATAAGTTCATGTGCACTGATGAGGATTGAGGGGATGTTATGATTAGTTCTTGAGGCTTCCTTCCTCCTCATCCTCCTCTTCTTCTTTATCCTTCTACTCTTCTTCAAATTGCTGTTTCAGCCTCTCACTGTTTCTCCTCCTACTCTTGAAATTGTTATTGTCTGCCTTTCACTCTTCTTGCATCATCACATCTAGAGTGTTGTTGTACTGTTGTGTGCCTTCTCCTCTCCCTCCCCCGTCATTGTATTTTGGGTCGTGTCCTTGTTAAGTTCCGTCCTCTGTCCCTTTTTTCTCCTCTTCGGCCTGCTGTCCTTATCACTTCATGCATGAAATCTTTCACGGCCTGTTGCAGTAACACACTGTGCTCCTGTCCACCAAGACATTTCGGTTCGGTAGACACGTGGTTGGACTTGCTTGAATTTGTGGAAGGCTTTTCTGCCTTTTCTTTAATTTTCCTGTTACATCACATTTTCTGAAAGGTCTTTCGTGATTCGGATTGGGGTGCATGACTGGCCATGATGGGCAGAAGACAAGCCTTTCCCTGCTCGGCTTGTTTGGGAGAGTCGCCAGTTCTATTGATATCTGGGTGATCAGACTCCTCATATAGCGAAGGGCTATGACGGGGGTGATTGACTTCCTGCAGTCCGGATGTTTTGGGCTCGCGGAAGAGGAATTCACACCCACGACGTGCGGGTTTTGACTCCAATTGTTTTAGTGCAGTGGGGCTTTCTGAACTTTTCTCATTCAGTAATATTTAGTTGAAAAACTTCCAGCGAGTCTTTCGAGGCGGTGGAAGTGCTGAATTCTGTGAGAACCGGCAAGGAGATGGAGGTTGAGGAATTCAAGTTTTTTTTGTTTTTTTTTTTTCTTCTGTTTTCTGTTATGATCCTGGCCAATTTCGAGATACACATCCATCAGATAGTGCAATGCCGCCCAGTTGCAGAAAGAAATGAATGAACTTGAGAGAAGAGAGAGGATTAGAAGAAGAAGTAAGAAAGAAGAAGAAGATGATGTACACCAACATAGACAAATGACAAGGCTCTTCTTCTTCGCCCAACAATCTCCTCCTCCTTATCTCCGCCTTCTCTTATTCATACAAGAAATAATAATACAATGTTGAATAGCTGATCCAGAATCAATGTCCGAGTCCCTCTTCTACTGCAGGTATCACTTGAGGTCCACCATAGCCATGGCCGCCTCTCCCACCCTTCACTCTCATAGGCCGAGGCTATGGCTGACTACTAGGCCTTGCCCAGATCCCCAAAGGACAACCCAAAGCAGCTATGGCTGCTCTAGCTCAGGCCGCCATGCCTGACCCTGCCTCGAAGCTTCTTGGTGTGGCTCTCCCCAGTTGGGGACTCCCTGCTGCAGCGCCCACCAAGGTGATGAAGATGGCTGCCACTATAGCCAGGTAAGTACCCCTGGCGCTCCTCGCCCTTCCTTCCTTCTTCCTCCCTCACGTCCTTCTCCTTCCTCCCCAGCGGCGATGATCCAGCACGCTGCTCCAGCCAGCGCTCCACCAGTGTGTCGCCAAACTTGCACACCGAAAAAGAGGCCGGGCTCTTCGCCCTGCTGGGAGATATAGCGGCCTGCTTGCCTCTTCGGGCGGTGACTTCCAGGCCGCTCGGCCTTCCAAGCAACTGGTACCTCCTCCCTTTCAGAGGGAAACATCATTGCAGACTCTGATATTGCCCGTACAGGCCCTAGACCCAGACTGGTTGGACCGGTATCCACCTAGACCTATCCTACAACTACTGGGCCTCTAAAAATGCCACTTTTGTCTTCTTCTGCTCGGCCTCCAGTACCCGCACATCTACCCCTTGAGGGTGCGGTACCGGCCTACCCGCTACTTGAGTGTTTTTCCTGCTGCAATCCCTCAATGTCACGGCCACAGGTAAGTACCGGCCCTGAGGGCCCAATGAACGAGCAAGTGCCCTTGCGGGCCACACACACACTCAAGCCAACCAGCACTCAGACAGGCACGGCCACACACACACGCAAGCCAACCAGCACTCAGACAGGCACGGCCACACACACACTCAAGCCAACCAGCACTCAGACAGACATGCAGTCCAGCAAGCGTGCACACACAGACTTAGTAGCAGCAGGGCGTTCAGTCTATGGGCAAAACTCAGAAATCAGCTGCGTGTTTCAGTCCATGTTTGGACGGGTCATCACATTTCAACCATTTCATGATTGGTACGTGTCATCCTTGCGCAGCGGCCATGCTAATCTTCTCTGTATCATAATAGTATCATTTCAGTTTTAGTGGATGTCCTGGAGGACTAGGTCGAGAATTTATTGTTGGGTCAGGAAATATGCTAGAGACCTTGGAGTTCTGTCCACAGCTCAACATCCCTTTTCAAGCAATAAAGTAAATATATTGTGGAAAATTGGAAATTCTGTTAGCTGATGCATAATCGCAGTATTACCATGTCAATTCATTTATGTCAGATTTCAAATGTTCCTTCTATGATGCTGCTCCGGTTTGGAGAGGATAGCAGATCATTGAATGAGAAGCATTTCGTGCGTATGGTGCCTGCTGATGATTGCAGGTCTTCCTAAATAACTGCATGTGTGCTAAAGCAGCTGGTCAGGGGTTCCCCGACACTGCAGAGCAAACTTTAGGCGTTATGGGAATATCAGTTGGACTGTTGGAGAATGAATTCAATTGGACGCTTACTTTGCAAAAGGTAGTAGTTGCTTTTGATGACACAAACCACGTTTTTCTGTATATAATATATATTGTTGACTCATGCTTTCCGTCTTGTCTGACATACTGTCAAGTAGGTTCATCCCATTTGATGGTAAATGTGCTGAATGTTTGTGTTTGTTAAATTCTTTAGAGGCGATTGGTCTTTCCCCCCATGCCTTTCTCAGCTGGAGGCAGCTTAACTGGGCAAATGGCAAGTTGCTCTGTGATCACATGAACTGACCATTCGCTGAAGATGCATCAATCAAATGCACAGATTGTGTGTGTTTTGTGTACATGCATACATGTGTGCGTGTGTGTGAAGAGAGAGAGAGAGAGAGAGAGAGAGAGAGAGAGAGAGAGAGAGAGAGAGAGAGAGAGAGAGAGAGAGAGAGAGAGAGAGAGAGA